TCAAACACAGATGGGGGAGGATGAAAGCACGCACAAGCCTAGAAATGAGGAGACAAAGGGTGGTCTGAGTACATCAAACACAGATGAGGGAGGATGAAAGCACGCACCTACTAGAAATGAGGAGACAAAGGGTGGTCTGAGTACATCAAACATAGATGGGGGAGGATGAAAGCACGCACCTCCTAGAAATGAGGAGACAAAGGGTGGTCTGAGTACATCAAACACAGATGGGGGAGGATGAAAGCACACACCTCCTAGAAATGAGGAGACAAAGGGTGGTCTAAGTACATCAAACACAGATGGGGGAGGATGAAAGCACGCACCTACTAGAAATGAGGAGACAAAGGGTGGTCTGAGTACATCAAACACAGATGGGGGAGGATGAAAGCACACACCTGCTAGAAATGAGGAGACAAAGGGTGGTCTGAGTTCATCAAAAACAGATGGGGGAGGATGAAAGCACACACCGACTAGCAATGAGGAGACAAAGGGTGGTCTGAGTACATCAAACACAGATGGGGGAGGATGAAAGCACACACCTCCTAGAAATGAGGAGACAAAGGGTGGTCTAAGTACATCAAACACAGATGGGGGAGGATGAAAGCACACACCTACTAGAAATGAGGAGACAAAGGGTGGTCTGAGTACATCAAACACAGATGGGGGAGGATGAAAGCACACACCTGCTAGAAATGAGGAGACAAAGGGTGGTCTGAGTACATCAAACACAGATGGGGGAGGATGAAAGCACACACCTGCTAGAAATGAGGAGACAAAGGGTGGTCTGAGTTCATCAAAAACAGATGGGGGAGGATGAAAGCACACACCTCCTAGCAATAAAGAGTCAAAGGGTGGTCTGAGTATCATCATAAGACAGATGATTATAAAGAAAGCACACACTTCCTAGCCATAAAGAAACAAAGGGTGGTCTGAGTATGGTGGACACAGATGCATTATAAAGAAGCACACACCAACTAGAGACAAAGACATGACAGACAAGATTGTATGTGGAAGAGGCAGGTGTTTAAGACAGGGATGCAAAGGAAAAAATGAATCATTAGCCCAATAGTGTGAGGTTTGCCATGCCAAACTGCATACCTTTATTTTCACCAACATCTCACTCATCAGCACCAACTTTTGCTCATCTGTCTTTTGCTGCCATTCAAGTCATCAGTCATGTGTCTCTCTCCCTGCTTCTGCCTCACCTTCAGCAGCTTCCACCCAGTGTTGGCCACAGACCGAAACATGTCTGCCCGATACCCTTTTCTTATCCACACACCGACAACCCTCTCATTCACCATTTCACCCAGCAGTTTCCACATCATCTTATCATCACATTTCGCTCCCGCTTCCCGCAAGTGTTCATGCCAATAGGTGACAACATACTTGTTCACAAAACCACCCTCGCTCCCCGCTTTCACGATATTGTCTAAGCAACTCCTTGCAACCTTGAAGTGCGCATCCCCGATCAGGATCTGGAATCCAAGCGGTGCACGCTCGCTCGTGATATAGTCACGAAACGATTTGTGCATCTGTGGCGTAGCGTCATCGAACGACGTCGTGGTGCCCGGAATCAAAACGCTGCGCATCTGCCGAAGGAAGTTGGTGACGTCGAACTTGTCCTTGGGTATATCAGAAAGTAGCGCAATGATTTCACAAACGAGCAATGGCTTTTGAAGCACGATGATGGTTCCTATGACGTGCTGAAAGCCATCTAGTCGAGTAGCACGTCTGTCCCTATCTTTTGAAGGCGTGCCGACGTTCTCCCATGATGTCAAGATGAGTCTGTACAGATCTTCAAGCTCGTTGAGGCCCCCCTCGCTGAATTCCTTGAACACGCTCTCTCGACACGCCGTTCCATCCTCGACAATCCGCCGTTCAATCCAGTGAAGAGCAGTTGCGGCATAGTGGAAGAGACCGTTTGCTCTGTCAGATAGCCTCTGCAGTTGGTTAAGATCTGGCCAATCATGCCAATCCGGCTCATCCGGTGTAATTTCCGTCATCCTAGCAACAACAAAGTTGTGCACTTCAATGACAGATAACTCTGTCTCCAGGGAATACTGCTTGAACACCGCGCGTTTGAGCTTTTTGGACTTGGAGATGTCTGCCCAGTGCTCTGGACGCGAGGTGATGATGAATCTAAGGTTGTTTGGAAGGTCACAGTCCATCGGAGCAATGTGGGAAAGGATCTCGATGACGCTCCTAGCCGCATCGTTCAACTCGTCTAGGGCATCAATGAGAATGACGACCACATCGCGTGAATTACAGAGTTCTCGGATCGGGTCTAACAGAAGAGAAGTTACTTGCTCGGCCCGCGTCGCAGGATACCCTGTCTTCAGGGCGATCTCAAGAACGCGAGCGGCTGTCGGGGAGGACATGGCAAGCTGCAGCGCGATAGTGGGGATGATCTTGTTTGGATCAACCGTTTCGGCGATGTTTCGAGAGATAAAGAACTGAGCAGAGACGGGAGTGTGGTTCTTACGAAGATTCTCAACCATGGTAGCAGAAAGCGTTGATTTGCCACTGCCCGGGATACCCGTCACCCAGAAGATACGCTCCGCGTTGGAAGGCTGCGAAAGTAGCCAATCCTTTATATTTGCGAGGAGTTCCACACGAGTGCCGTTGGCGCAAACACTCTTGCTCTGATCTGTATGTTCGTACTTTGCAGCAATATGGCTGGCGAGCTTCTTTTCGATGAAGGCCTTGGGTGGAATCAATAAGTGGCATCCTCGATCAGCAACAAGCAACCCAAACGTACCATACGATTGGCAATCTCCTGATTTACCCGAATCTTTGTGACGGTTGTTGCCTGGAAGAAACCAATTCAGAAAACTGACACACACCGGCAGATGTCGTCGTACCAGGAATTTCTCTTTCGCGCTCGTAAACTTTGACTTCCAGTCCCCCAAATCATCGGATACCGTCTTCTTCGACTGCCCGAGTTTAAAATCAATGGGTGGAAAAGAGAAAGATAAACCTACGACATGTTCCTTTGCCCATTGGCAAACCTCGTTCACCGCCGCACTAACCATGGGTAAGCATTGTAAATATCATGGAAGATTCAACGATACTCACCAAATCGTCTTGAGATCCTCCTTTACCGACAGCTCCTCACCAACAACCCCGACAAGACTGCTGACGTACTGAATCACTTCCTGCGCAAATTCATATACTTTCTTTTGGATAAGCGGGATATTCTGATTGAATGGGTCAGCGGGACGGAATGAGCCTGATAAAATGGCGTACGATGCCGAGCTCAACCAGATTGAGCAATGCTTCAACAAGGGTTTTTGCAGGAAAAGGGCTGTCGGGTATGAAGGCTTTGAGCGTATCGAGAGTCTTTGATTTCAACGCCTCATCGATCTTTTCCGCAAGTATTGACCATTTGGAGCCTTTGTGATCGTCACCCCATTTACGGAGCTGAGTAATAGCGTCGCCGTCGATGTTCCAAGCTTCCCACTCAACCATAGGATCCATCTGTGTGCTCTGAGTCGATGTCTCAAAGTCAGAACGGATAATCGCACCCCAGTCTTCTTGTCTTTATCTGGTTTAGACTGTGCATCCGCTGTATGTTTGCCTGTTCATGCAATGTTCATGGATCGTTGGAGCCTTTTGAGTTGGAAACACTCACTGATCGCGGCTACGCTTCCCTCCGATGAACCATCACCATCGATACGTGCGTTTGTAATCTCTGGGTTGGACCGCGACCTAGCTGGATATCGGTTTCGATCAATGCTAGCTAGCAATCGAGACGAAGACGCTTACCAATGCCTGCGCCACCTCCCGGCTGTGGTGAGGGTGCTCGACTTAAACTCGGTTTGAAAAATCTTTTGAATCCGTCCTTCAGCTTGTCACGGAAGTGGACCTTTGGCTGGACTGTCTCTTTCGGAAGGCTTTGCATGGTGGTAGGAAGCAACGTGTGGGTACTAGAAGCAACGTGTAGGTGTCCGGAAATGGTCACAATGGTGTGAGTATTGCTAAATTGGCGCAAAGGGTACGTTCCTTGGGCCATCCCTTCTTCTTTCTCCACTTCTTCTACCAACCCCCAGCGCAATCCACAAATCCTACCCAACCACATACTGGTGCTCTGTCCCACCCGAAGATAAGACCAAGAAACCTCTCTGTCAACCTCCCCCCGTCAAAGTCAAGGCTGCCCCGCCTAAAGCACCTACTCCGTCATTGGGTCGTCTACGTTGGTCGACACAAAGAGTGGACCGCCACTTACGGATGTGAATGCGGGTGAGAAGGCTCCGCCTGGATTGGAAT